AGTTACAATTAACAGAGTTTATGATTAATAATACAATTTTTTAATTAAAGCTACTATTAAAATAATAGTATACATTTTCTTAAGCCTTTAAATATGTTTGAATTGAGTAATTTATTTTTATAATCATAAATGTTGTGAAACAGTTCATAACCTAAAACAATTATTAATAATCTTTATAGTTATATATTAATTAAAGTAATATTAGTATTCAGTACTATACATTACAGTTTTGCTTAATATAAAAATTTTATATTCTTTTCAAGGCTTATTGATAAAAATCATATAAAGATTAAGTTTGTCACACAAATTAATTATAGATAATTGTATTTTATTTGCTGGCAAACAATGAATGGGTTATTATAAATTAGTGTATCATAGAAATTATTATCGCTAAAATTCAGCAAAATGTTAATTTATAATAATACTATACTATAGTAAATACTAAAATGATTATTACCACCAAATGTAAGACTGTATGGAATGAGCGGGTATTCCATGAGTGACCCAATTATTCTGATAATTCACATTCAATTCCATGATATCGTCGCCTCTATTGAGTACAACGACTACCACTCCATTGTCGGGCCGTTTGGCAGTCAATACGTATATGTCGTCAACACTGGACACCAACTCGTGTCCAATGCGTACAGAATCGGGTGAAATAAATTTACTAAACTGTCCCAAAGCGTAGAAAGTGGGCTGTTTGTAGGCCTCACCCTTCAGAGGATTAATATATACGGGTCCACCACAGCCTTGCCTTTCAAACCAAGTGGGACCACCATTTAGATCCAGTGCCATATTCCACTCAATCCAACCAACGGCCCAATGATTTAATTGCTATTCAATGTTTAAGGAGTTAAGCAAATTTAGACAAACTTATCAATGTATATTACACAACCCCAACTTTACCAAATACAGTAAAATGTTATTATATCTTGACTTATAAACAGAAAAACTTTAAAAATAAACTTACATTTATTATGTCAAAGGCATACCGTTCCGCATAAGACCACTTTCCATTTCCAGGTCCATTGAGAATGCACGCTTCAGTGTTGAGAATAAAATAATCAGGGTGTTTGTGGTGAACATATTCAAGTATTTCTGCCACACTTCTCGCACCAATTAACTCATTGTAATACCAATGGCTGGCTATACCCGACACATACTGTGCCAGTCTATTGTCGGCCAGAATAATGTCCGTCCAGTTGGCCAGGAATGGTGTGTTGTCGTCCAAAATCATTAGTTTTAGTTTATTCTTATTGTACCCGGCTTTGGCAAGAGTTGGGCCCAAGTTATGTTCAATAAAATATCTGATTTGCTCAGGTGACATTTTTAAATTATTAAGCTTATGATCGTCAACCGGTTCATTTTCAGTGGTCAGTCCCCAAAGGTTTATACCATTCTCTTTGTACGCCTCAAGAAATCTATGAATAAATGATAAAATTCATAGAAAATAATTAAATGCAATAATATTTGTATTATAAGTGTTAGGGTGACATACTTTAGCAAATAATTGGCCAAAATTTGATAGTACTGTCCGCCGACATCTCCTTTAAGTTCACTGTGAGCTATAAACTCCTCAATTTGTTTCATCCAAACGGGTGGACTCCAGTTACTGCCAATCAGCTTAAGTGTATGTGGACAGACACTCTGTGCTTGTTTTATGTATGGTATCTATGTTATTCATAAAATATAATTTAGTTCATAATCCAACTAATTGTCAGTTAAAGTGTACTCGTTGTCTGTCATACTTTATATTCAAAGTCCTCTTTTTGTAGTGAAAAATATTTTAATGTATAGTCATTATAGACGTCATCATAAGTATAGGGACGCAGGGAATAGTCGGTACCAGAGATGGGAACCCTTCCGAAAGAAAATTCAATACCATTTGCAGAGAAATAGCTATTTATTATAGCGGAGGCCAGGGATGGATCGACTGAACTCAACATATAACCGGCTGAGTCGGTAAAAGCGTTGCCAAAGCCATACAACTTCTGGTACTTATGATTCTTATCCACAGATATTATGATTTGATTTTCTTTACCCTTTTTAAGGCAATTATTTTTCACACAATTCTTGTTTCCATAGAAAGACTTGAATTTAAGTGAACTTTCTTTGAAACGATCGCCGTTTTTGTTGCTTTCATAGACCAATACATAACCGACTTTTGGTCGCACTATCGGTGGGAAGTCATCGCAATAAGTGCTGTTACAGACACATACGGTGTCTGAGTCTTCGATATGCCGGCGCTCACATCCATTCAAACCAAATGAATTATTTATTAAATTAAGTTTAATTATTAATATAATACAAATACTATGTAAATATTTCATTTGGAATAATTTATTAGTAGAATTTTATTAAGGGTACATATTTTAATAATATTAGAAAATTTAAGTGTTAAAATAACTGTTAACTATATTATTAATTTAAGTAATTTAGTTTTGATTGCGATAAATTACAATTTTTAGTCACAAGTGTTATAAAATGGTTCATATTATGAAACAGATTTTTAATAATCATTTTTGGTATTTATATAAAAATAAATTCAGAGTTTTATTTAAAAGCGATATTTTATTTGTTATCAAGGATTATTACGAAAAAGTATTATATTTGATTGTCATTCAAATAATAGTGAATTTGATATTTTTTTATTTATCATTGAATATGTTATTGAAAAATTAAAATAAATAAATAATAAAAAAATTGTTATCAAGGATTATTACGAAAAAGTATTATATTTGATTGTCATTCAAAATTATCACTTAAACTATAAAAAAATAAATAGTAACTTATACAATAACTTTTTAATTTTATTTATTTATTATTTTTTTAAATGATTATGTCATATTTTATTAAAAATAATAAAATGTTTACTATAATTATTAGAAAATAAAATATGAATAAAGTGCATAAAACATAATAATATGATATCATATTGGAGATTATTTAATTAATTAATTAAATTTTCAAATCATTTCCAATGTCCTGGTATGTTATGCATTTTACAAATAACCTAAATTTTAAACCCATTAACTGATTAAATGAAAAGCTTTAATTTTTCAATGTTGTTAAATATTAATAAAATAAATAAAAGTTTCTTGTACTTTTTTGTATTTGTAGGAATCCTACATTTCCTTTGATTCAGTATTACATCCGATGAGTGCATATGTCATGTAAATTATTATTAAATACAATTTTAGTTCAATGACACATAAATTCAATAACAGATAATTTTAGTAATATTAGTATTCAGTACTATACATTACAGTTTTGCTTAATACAGTATAAAAATTTTATATTCTTTTCAGGCTAATTGATAAAAATCACATAAAATTAAGTTTGTCAGACAAATTAATTATAGGTAATTGTATTTTATTTTCTAGTAAACAATGAATGGGTTATTACAAATTAGTGTATCATAGAAAATATTATCGCAAAT